CAGATCCTATGCTACACACACAGCAATTGATACGCACACAGCTTCTGTGAGTACAAACGTGTGCACCAGCACCAGAAGTACAGTAGATAAAGTCTCCTCTGCAGGTGCTTTCATGGGTAGTCGTGAACTCGTTGTACGCTCACAAGTGAATGGAGGTGACAGCAGATGGATCTCTTACGCGTGATCTGCTGGGTTGACGTCACTCACCCGTTGGCTGCCGCACCTACATACAGATGCACACACAGGGAGAGATGCACACACAAAGCTCTGTCAGCTACAAANCCCCCCCTCGAGCCAGCGCGTGGTTTGCTGGGTTCACCACACGGGTGGTATGCTTGGTCCACCGCACGCGTTGTCTGCTGGGTCACCATACGAGTGCCGGGGGGGGGTAAACCCCCCCTCGGACCCCCCCCCTCGAGCCAGCGCGTGGTCTGCTAAGTCGAAATATATGTACTGTATTTTTAATAACAAGTCGATTGGGAGAGCACTGGGGGTTGCAGCCTGCCCACAACTGGCACTTAGAGTTCAATAGTCGTGCACCATAACATATGGTATTTTGTTACGTCGCGCACTATGTAAGCCGAGGTGCTTTCCCATGGGGCTGCAGGAGAGGGGGGGGGGGGCACAACCTGCTGGAGAGAATAAACGTATCACGGGCGTGAGGAACACACCATTATTTTTTGTTGTCCAACCACATGGTAAAGTCGTCGACACCCACGACAAAGAAAAATCTACACCACCACTTGCCGATATACTTCATTGCATACAACGTCAAAAATATCCATTTTTTTACCTACGGGTAATACGCGAGCGCGCCCCCCCCGGAGGGGGGGTGGGCGAAGCACCCTTGTGTTTTTTTTTTGTCTCCCATCATTGGAGTTTGTCGTCTGCCCCTCTGACCCCTATCCTCCACTTAGACGACCCAACCGGGGTCACATAGGAGGGGGTGGTATTTTTATCACGAGAAGGGTACAGCAATCCCTTCCCTCGCGACTTGTGAAGTCGATCAAGTTTACTATTCACCAACCAATGGGGCGGGAGGGGGGCAGGAGACGGACGAGACGGCGAGGGAAGGAAGCAAACGAGAAGAGACGGACCGAGTGGCGCGATACGTGCCGGGTTGAATTTCTTTTAGTCACNCCCAACCGGGGTCACATAGGAGGGGGTGGTATTTTTATCACGAGAAGGGTACAGCAATCCCTTCCCTCGCGACTTGTGAAGTCGATCAAGTTTACTATTCACCAACCAATGGGGCGGGAGGGGGGCAGGAGACGGACGAGACGGCGAGGGAAGGAAGCAAACGAGAAGAGACGGACCGAGTGGCGCGATACGTGCCGGGTTGAATTTCTTTTAGTCACTTCCCCCCCCCCAACGCTGCACCAATGCACCAACCCCCCACTAGTGATGACGTACCATTACAATGTATCGCTGGTTGGTGGCCATGTTTGCGTGTTTGCTTGTCGTTAGTGGTCTCTCCACCGTGTACCTTCTTCTGTCTCTTATTTATTGATATTTTCGGCCTGGTCCTTTTGTCCTCCCTCTTTGTATTTGATTTTCTCTTTCCTTACTGCTTCCTTTTATTATCTTCTGTCTGTGCCAGATGGCCTTGTCTCTGCTTGCGTTGTGAAGTACCAAGATTGAACCAAGGGGGTGTACCTCATTCTCTCCGGCCCGTGATGGTGACTCCTAGTCTCAGTTGTTCCCTCGCATAGCGCGAAGAGGGAGTGGAGGACTCCAGAATATCTGTCGTTGATTTCTATTTACTTTCGGACCCCTCGGGGCCATTTTATTTGAGTGCAAGTTAGCCTGCGACCACGGGAATCTAACGCGTTGAGTGTTGGATCAGTACGGACATACGAAGCGACTGGGTGGAGAGAGATCGGAACAGTTTTCAATGTAAAGCCAACAACAACAACAACAACAACAACAACAACAACGAGCTTGCAGAGAGTCGGTTCCAACGGAGACCATGATTTAATTAGCGAGAACAAAACTCATTCTGTCGGGACTCGAACCCATGACCTGGCCCTTGACAGGCTGCGAGGATACCCACTAGATCACCGGGGCGACCGGTATTTATGTAGAGTAGCGGCGGGTATTAAAGGCCACCCGGGTATTAAAGGCCACTTTTTTTTAAAGGGGGTATATCCCCACAGAATCCACGGAGCCCCTTGGTTCTTTTTTTGAATTGCTCCGCGAAACCGTAGCTCTCGTTTGAGCACCACAGCGTGGCACGCCGAGCATTCCACCCCGAGATACAGCC